CAAAAAGCAATAGTAAGCTTTACAAACTAAATGTTCAACCATTTGGTCAATGAAAGGAAGAGGAAAATAGTCTTTTTTGGTAACGGTGTTCAGCCTACGGTAGTCAATACACAGCCTCTATCCAGTGGGTTTGCGCACTGGTACGAGCTCACCCATTTGGTTAGCCTCCACTGTCACTCCTGCCTTCTTTGGGACTACCTGGACCGAGTTCACCCATGGACTATCCAATATCGCGAAAATCATTCCCACCTCGAGCAACTTCAAAATTTCTTTTTTCACCACTTCCATCATGAGGGGGTTGAGCCTCCTTTGACATTGCCATACGGGTTTGGCATCCTCTTCCAACCTAATCCGGTGCATACAGATGGAGGGGCTGATTCCATTAATATCGGTGATGGTCCACCCTATCGCCTCTTTATACTCTCTAAGGATTCAAATCAGCTTCTCCTCTTGGGTTTCCGGATTGCAGCTGATATAATCACCGGTAGTGTTTCGTTGTCGCCCAAATACATATATTTCAAGTGCTTCGGCATGGGTTTCAACTCCAACACAGGTGCCTGCACCACAAATAGTAATACCCTTGGTGAGGTTCAGGAATGAAGATGGGTGAAACTTAATACCTTTTCGTTGTGGTTGGCAACGAGTGTAAGCTCCTATTGTGCATTTCAAATCTTCACCCCACTCCACCTCAGGAGTTGTCTCCAACTCGAGGTGCTTGGTTAAAGCAACCTCCAACTCATCCCTGTCTATAGTTTCAAACACTTCATGCACTGCAGGATCAATAGCACTCACAGAAAAAATAGAGTTGAAATTAGAGTTTGAAGGATATTTCATAATATCAAAGATATTAAAATGCATAATTTTTTCATCAAATTCCATGAATAATGTGCCCTTATTAACATTAATTTTCGTGTGTACTGTACTCAAAAAAGGTCTACCTAATAGCAAAGGTGAGGGATCGGGGGAGTGATCATCATCCATATCAAGTACATAAAAGTCAGTAGGGAATACCAAATCATTAATTTTTACCAACACATCTTCAACCAATCCATCAGGATATGCATTAGTTCGGTCAATTAATTGAATGATTATTTCAGTTTCTTTCAATGGACCTAGGTGTAGAGATGTATAAATAGATTTAGACATGACATTAATTGAGGCTCCCATATCCAACATGGCCTTCCTAATCAAAGTGTTGCCTATCCTACAGGGGATAGTAAACATATTTAGGTTCCCGCACTTTGGTTGGAGTTTTCTCTGCAGGACCGCGGACACGTTCTCTCCCATAATGACCCTTTCATCTCCCCTTACTTACCTTCGGTTGAAACATATGTCTCTCAAAAATTTTACGTATTTCGGTACTTGTTTGATGGCCTCTAACAGGGAGATGTTGATCTCCACCTTGCGGAACATCTCCAAGATCTCCTTATCCTTATCCTGTTTCTTCGATTTTTTTAACCTGATAGGAAAGGGGGGCGGGTTAATTTTAACTGTAATGACTGGGTCGGGGAGTACCTTTGGATTTATGCCATTGCCGTCCTTCTTCTCAAACTCGTTCTCGATTTTTTCCTCATCCTTGTCCTTTGGGATCACAGGTTCGGGTCCTTGGATTTCCTTCCCGCTCTTTAGGGTTATCGCGCTTACGTTCTTTAGGTTTAACTCAGGCTGAGATGGCAATTTATCTTGGACTTGGGACTCCAAACGATTGATTGTTATGGCCATTTGATTCATCTGATTTTACATGGATTGTATCTGGCTCATTTGATTCCTTATGTTATGCAGTTCGGAGTCCGTCTTTTGTTGATGTTGCATGATGGTCGCTATCAATTGTTTCATCATCTCCTCCAAAGATGGACTAGAGTTCGGTGGCGGAGGTGGTCGGGGTTGGTACTGCTGCTGGTACTCTTGTTGTCTATTTGGTACAAAGTTAGACTGCCTGTTCCCTTCATAGCTGAGGTTGGGATAGTTCCTCCGACGCGGGTTATACGTATTCGAGTACGGGTCATAGGCTTTTCTTGCGCAGGCTCGTGACCAGCCATGTTTACTTGCTCTGCACTTTTCTTTTGAATCATTGGGCACATCTTCGTAGAATGACCCATACCCGTACAAATCCCGCACACCTTAGTCTGAGATGTATTTCCTATAACTAGTTGCCTAACAAAAGAAATCAACTCAGTCAGCTGCTATTGGATAGAGGATGTCTCTACTTCATTCACCTTGCATATCAGGACGTCCTCCCTCGTGCCAAACTGTTGCGAATTCTCAGTCATTCTCTCAATTAGTTCCTATGCTGCTCGAGGAGTCTTGTTCACCAGTACCCCTCCACTCGCAACATCAATTATGCTCCTGTCTCTGAAAAGTAGCCCATCGTAAAAATATTGTATGAGTAACTGCTCATTTATTTGATGCTGGGGACACTTGATGCACAATTTCTTGAATCGCTCCCAATAATCATAGAGCGACTCCCCTGGATGCTGTTTGATACCGTAAATTTCTTTCCTTAGACTTGCAACTCTGGACGCAGGAAAATATTTATCTAAAAATTTTTTCTTCAACTAGTCCCATGTGGTGATGTTACTTGGTGGTAGGTAGTACAGCCAGTCTTTTGCAGAGTTCTTCATGGAGAAAGGGAATGCCCTCATTTTTATCTGCTCTTCTATGATTCCCGAAGGCTTCATAGTGTTGTATATGATATCAAACTCCTGCAAATGCTTATAAGGCTCCTCACCTGGTAACCCATGAAAAGATGGCAAAAGATGAATTAGCCCAGATTTTAATTCAAATGAAGTGTTATCACTCAAACCCGGAAAGGTAATGCATAAAGGATGCTGAGTTAAATCAGGAGCAGCCAACTCCCTTAATGTGCGTGCATTAGCCATAGTGACTTCTTCTTGCTCCGAGTCACTCGAAGTGTCACCAAACAAATTTGTTGGTTCAACTTCTGACTCAAGTCTCTGAGATGCAGCACTTAAGTGCTCTTCTCTGAGTTGTCTGGTCTCTTTTCTTGTTCTACGCGTAGTCTTCTCTACCTCGGAGTTAAAAATTAATTCACCTGTACGAGAAGAACGAGACATACACTCGAAAAATACCAAAGAATTAGAACAAAAATGAACTTAAAAACAAACAAATATTAACGCTAGTCCCCGGCAACAGCGTCAAAAATTGACAGGTTGTCGAAACCTGTGCAGTATTAACGCTAGTGTAATTTTTGAAACTCGAAAAGAGGCCAATGATATACCATGTCAAATTTCAACATTGTTCTGTCGAATTGGAGGTTAGATATAATCTGTTTTGCTATATTACCATATTAGTCTAATAGCTAAGTTTGAAATTCAAAACCTTAAAAATCTCTTAAATTTTAATTTTCCTTCTTCCTTCCAGTTTCTTAAATCTCACCCTCCCTCACAAAGAGAGAGAGAGAGAGAGAGAGAGGAAAAAAATGCACCAACCCAACAAGATAAACACAACTGGATTAGTCAAGAAATGAAGTAGAAATTGTGAACGACTTGAAAACGGTAAATGCAGTTGGACTTGAATTTTTTTTTACAAAGAAAACTACTACTGTGAGATATAAAAAAACAATAAAAAGTTTTCCAAAGCACATAGTTTAATAAAGCGTTGCCCGAATATCAAGATTTTTGAGCTGCGTCACTGACTTGTTCATGTTTTTAACATCCTTTGTCTTTTTCATATTTTCTTTCTTTTTCTTTTTTTGAAAATATCTCTTCTGCAATTGATTCTAATATGATGTTTTACAGGCTTTTTGGATTCATTAATTTCTTGGATTTGGTGATTTTTGTGATTAACACACAACCTCTTGCAAAATAATCATTTACCCATGTACAGAGGCTAGGGATAGACGTGGTGCTTGACAACCGTGAGTTTTTTGCTTCAGTTGACTTGCAAAAGTTGAATGCATTGCAAAAGAAAGGGAAAAATATAGTTTTAATCCTAATGTTTTACTCGTGTGTTAAACTGATCTTTAATGCTTCAACCAAAATAAATTTGATTCCCTAATTTTCGAAATTTAGGCATATTTAGAACAATTGACACAAAATCAACAATGACCAAAGGTGAAAGTCAAATTGCCATAATAACTTTGACTTTACACTTTTGGTCCCACATTTCGAATTTAGACCATTTTGGTCCATTGCATTTTAAATAGTGATATTGATAGTTTTAGAATAAAAAGAGATGCAAATTAGATTAGAATTGTTTTGAAAAAATGTTTGAAAATAAAGCATTATAGTTTATAAACTTCATAGTGAAGGTTATACAAAAAGAAAATCTAATATGTCTCTCTGGAATTCCTTCACTTTAAACAGTATAAATATGTAAACATAAATAGATAACTGTAGCGGCTGTAATATAATTCAAAGATATTATTGTTACGCTTGAAGTTGCTTTGCTCCTAACCATCATCATATATGCACATATACTAAAGCACATACTGCCTTTTTCTTCCCCTTTTTTTTCCGTTTCCTTCCAATATTTTAAAGGAAGCTACTTAAATTTAAAGCACAATGTGATTTTAAGTTGAGATGATTCCTTAATCCAACTCTTCATATTCTTATCGAAAAAGAAATGCTGCTAAGTGCCATTGGTCTGGGTATACTGCTATATATGTCCGTGACAGACAACAGGCTATAAGTTGTAACTGGGAAATAGTTTTGATAGACGTTGCTTTTTTGTGGGTGAAATGAAAATATACAACTTTTTTTTTTCATTTTGTTTTGGACAAGATTCATTTGGTTGCCTTTTTTTTTTTCTTTTTGTTTAGAGGCTTGCAGTCTAATATTTCAGTAAGAAAAAATAATGGCACTTTATTTTCTGAAAATTTAGTAATGCCGACCTTTGGTCTTTTTTTTATTATTTAATTGAAGATTGGAACGAAAATTTTTATGGCCCACCCACTACCCCACCCAACGCTAGCATTCAAGCGGTTCAAAGATAAGGAGTTGGTCGTCATTCAATGTGAATTCATCGGTTGAACTCTCTGTCATCTCATTTATGAAGATGCCAAGCAAACACACAAGATCATCACGGCTGGAGAGAGATGGGCGAAGAACCATATCGGACTCAAGATCCTAACAGTTATCAGAGAAATGGAAGAAAAACAACTTGAGCATTTCAGTCATGAGGAACACCCTCTCATCCTGTGTGAATTGCAGAAGGAAAACGATGACGGTAGTACTGATCAAAAGTCAGCAGTCTGTTATGGGTGTCAGGAGCAAATCTTGGATCCTGCGGCATACTGCTGCTTCCGCTGTGATTTCTTTCTCCACAAAAGATGTGCGGAGCTTCCTCGACAAATTAGGCATCCGATGCATTCCCAGCATGACTTAGTCCTCCATGGGAAGTCACCTTATTCCTGGGGTGGTTGTATCTGTAGTGCGTGTGGCCAATATGATTGGAAGGTTTTCACCTACCACTGTTCCTTGTGCGAATTTGATCTCGATGTGTCGTGTGCTATTTTGGATCAGCGGGAAATTAAGCTCAATTGTCATGACCACCCTCTTCGACAACTGAAAAAACCTGCTACTTTCTTGTGTAATGCTTGCGATAAGGTTGAAGAAGATTCATCTTATCTGTGCACTATTTGTCCATTTTGGATCCACAGAAAATGCGCACTGCTACCAAGAACGGTGAAGCACAAGGATCATAATCACTCACTCTTATTGGCTTACTCTCTTCCGTCTGAGCACTGCAGTTTTCGACAACAATGCTCTGTTTGTTGGAAAAAGGTACATCTGAGTCGTTGGGTCTATTATTGCGGTCCTTGCAGATACTTCGTCCATATCACATGCGTTGTGATCTCTCAAGAGGACGAAGGGAAGCTAAGTGAAGATATTGAATATAATATCTCGTAAGAGTTTTTCTTTGTTTTGCTTGCTATTGTTAACGCAATGGTTGATCCTTTAGCTTTTTTTTTCCGCCTCCAAAAATTTAGTTTTTTGCCCATTTACCATAATCATGATGAAATATTTTTGCCATTATATCCTCTGAATTTCTTGTCTTGTGGGTTGTTAGAGGAGAACAAGATCAAAATGTGGTGAAACTACCATCCAATAATGCGGCTCAAGAATTGATCGCCCGTTTTCTTCTCAAGGAAGATGAGATCAGTAGCAGTAATGACTCAGGCGAATCGAATATTCGAGAAAATATATATATGGATTCCCACTGGAAGCATCCGCTTGTTCTTTCAGAGAAAGTACAAAACTTAGATGAGATAAATAGTACTACTAGTGATGATCAGGAAGAAGCAAAAGCATTGTTAGTATGTGACAAGTGCATTGAACCTATTTGCTCATCTGATAATCTTCACTACTATGCTTGGGTCGAGTGCGGTTACTTTGTCCATTTAACTTGTTCTAACCTCCCCCCTGAATTGCACATTCCAAAGCATCCCCAGCACCCATTCCCATTGACATATATTCAGAGTGCAGTTGGTCGTTTCATATGCGGGGCATGTGGCCGGGAGACCAATGCTAACTATTATAATTGCAAACCTTGTGGACTAAGCATTTGTATCAAGTGTGCGAGTGCTAGCATGATCACGAGTAGTGTCAAACACGATGGTCACAAGAAGCACCTCTTGGCTCAACTTCAATGTTCAGATCGCGTATGTTGCACTACATGCGACTATATATATAGAGGTGGTTTTGGGTTTGCTTGTGAGGATTGCCATTTCTATGTGTGTTATTACTGTGCTCTGCTGCCTCCTACAACCACGCAGAGATGGGACAAGCACCTACTTCACCTGATATATCCTCCGTATTTCGAGCATCCTGAGAAATTCTACTGTGTGCTCTGTGAAAGAGAAATCAACCCAAATTGTTGGATGTATCACTGCCATGATTGCAACTACTCATTGCATCCATCGTGCGTTCCTCAAGTTAATTTGTTCAGACGTGTGAAATATGGACACTCCGTGAATGTGAATAATCATTCTCATCCTCTCACTCATGTTCCCGAAGCAAAATACAAATCCTTTTGTGGGAGCTGCAACAACAAGAGGTTGGATTGGGAAGAGGCTTTCGAATGCGATTCGTGCAGATTTTATCTCTGCCCAAATTGTGCCCGCCGAAGGGAATTGCTGCCGTGTTGTAACCATTAATGAGTGACTAGGTGGTAACACCGCGCTACGCGCAGTGGTATACATGCCCAGTTAACGTTTAGCTAGTAATATAGGGGAGAATGAAAATTAGCAGCACAAAATGGAGCTATATTATATAGGAATATGAGCGAAAAATCAGTTGTACTGGAAAGGTGTAATTATACGGGCATTGTAAATATGTAAAGCAAACAAAATAATATATCACCGTATAATGCTGCCTTACATTTTTTATGTACACAAAAACTTGTGACTTTGTAGCTCAAAATGAAAAAAAAAAAAAACAGCCCAATGTAGTATTGCATCAAGGCTTGGCCTTGTTATTAGAATCTGATACAACCAATCATCTGTTTTCGGAATTACATATCAACCTTAGTGAGATAAACTGCATTTGACCAAAAACGAAGGAGGATTACTAATGCAGGGTGCATCCTGTCAATACATCAATAGCATAGGGGATGGTCAACTACTTAACACACAAAAAAAGGAAAAAGGAAGTTACACAAGCCTTGATGCAATTCTACTCTTGATCATTGGATGGACGTCAACAGCTAGAATCCCATAAAAGGAAAGATGAGTGCATGAGATAATGTACATTTATGAAACTTAAGACCAGTAGACCGCAGTTCAGAGGTTCTCATTACATATCAAACCTGTTCCGGAAGAAAAAAAAAATGCAGAGTGTAGTGTTGCATCAAGGCTTTTCCTTGTTATTAGAATCTTACACTTCAAACTAACCCAAGGACCAAAAAACACATTACTGTGTAGTACAATAACCAAAAAGGTTTTCATTAGCCTGTAACTTCAAGAAATCCGATGAAAAGAAACTCTGCTTACATATCACCTTTAGTGGGATAAATTGCATTTGACCAAAAAAGGAGGAGGATTATTAATATAGGCCACAATTCTATCCTCTGAATACATCAGTAGCAAAAGGAATGGAAACTCTTGGTACAAAATAACTGACCAAGTTGTACAAGATTTCAAACCAAACAAAAATATCATGATAACACCATCCACGTGAGATATAAAGCATCAAGAGCTAATATACATTTATAGTAGGTAATACAGAGATCACATAGCTACTGTTAGTGCAAAATCTAGTATCCAGGGTCATACGCTTCCAGGCTTTGATCTTGATAATGCTTCAAGGATGGCCGATTCTGCTTCCTACATAACTAAACACGTAGTTTTGTTAATCAGATGGCAGAAGCATTCTTGAGTGGTACTGCAAAAATCCACTTTATACGGTTAAATATTAGCAGCAATTACCATATTTTCCAAAAGTATATCATAGTTTTTTTTTCTTTTATCATTAGCCCTCCCATTTTAAGCTAACTTTTTTTCACTTACAGGAACATCAACATCTGTGTCTATCTATGCACCTATATGCCAGACAAGCTTTTTCCATATAATTATCCCTGAAGGCAAAAGTATGGGGCAAAGGTTTTTGTACAATTCATAGGTTGGGGCATACTGCACCAGTGTAGCCAAATAATAAATGAACAATCTTCAATTACAATATAAAACATGCAATAACTACAAATACACAATTTTCCATTACATTATTATATACACAATACAGACACCGTTGTAAAAAAAATTTCCATTCATAGAGATAGTTATATTAAAACAAAAGGTGAAATAAAAAAGGTTACAATCAGCACTTTAAAAGTAGTAGAAGGCCATTATTTGCTCTATTATATGTCGATAAATTTAATACCTAATTCCATCATGAAGAGCCCGGTGTCCATCTAATTTAATGCTAAATAAGGACACAAAGAAACCGTTTGCAAGTTAAATAGCAGAAAAGATAATCAACAGAAACTTAATCATTTTCTCTTAATCAACAGAGGTATCTACTAATTATTAGTATACAAGCACATCTATTTGACTAAGATATTTTGCTAAATAAAGTGTAACAGCTTACCTGTCCAAAGCTGAACTATGCTAAAAGCCCAAAGCTTGGGCTTAGACTGACTGATACCAAAACAAAGCATTACCCCTATAAAATTCAACCCAAAAGTGAACAACAATAAATATGAGCAAAAATAAATTGTTCATATGCAAAATGGAAACAAATAGAAAAAAAGAAGGTTATAAAATGTTACACAGAAATAATTACCAAGTTTTTAGCCAAAGACATTGTGCTTTGAACAACCCATGAATCCAAAACAACCAAAAAATACACCAAGCAATTTTCCCATACATAATAGAAAATCACATAAGTTTGTACAGGTGCTGTAGAAGACCAGGGAAAAAAGGACAAATAAGTAACAGGAGAACTATTAAAAATGCGTGTAAAAAAATAGTGAAAAAACTGAGATCTGGAAGAATGAAACTGAAAGAAGCAAAATCACATACAATTTTTCTTGATAATGATCTTCTCTTGACATCCTCGGTTTCCCAAGAAAGCATGGACAGAAAATCAGATTTCCTTGTTTTTGGATTTAATTCTTCCAACCATAATCCTTGTTTTCGAGAGCGAGAAGGGATCGGCGAGAGAAGAGACGGCAACCCTTTGGGATTTGAAGGAGATGATGTCGAGATAGGGTTTCTGGAACTACTACGTGGGTCAAAAAAACTTTATAAAATTTGTTAGTAAATCCTTTTTAATGTTTTTTGGGCAAGAGCAAAATCAAGATACAATTTCTTATAAAGGCATTAGATCGGGAAAAGTTCCAAGAAACTTTCTCAAATTTATTAAATACTTTTTAATGCTTTTTGGCCAACAGCAAAATCAAGATACAAATATGTCAAGAAAAGGAAGAATACAAGGCAAAAGAAAGGGGAAAAAAAGAGCAAAGCTAACCACGTGTTTTAGAACCCAATTAAAAAAAAAAGGAAAAAATCTCAGAGTCTCACAAGAATGCTGGAAAAGATTCGAAAATTTTCACCTGCAATATCAAAAATATATACCAATTAGATTAGATTAGATTAGACAACTAAAGCTAAAAAGAAACACAAAAGGCTAGAGAAGTTCAGGGAGGGAAAGGAAAAAAAAAATACCATCTGTTTTGGTCCTGATGTTGCCGGTTATGGAGAAGAAAAGAGATAGAAGGGCTTTGGGGGCATTTAGGAAAATGAAGAAGAAAACAGAGAGATGGGCTTAGAGAGAGAGTAGAATGGCGATGAACAAGGAAAAGAAATGGGAGAGCAAGTGACCTTCTTCAATCAATCACATCTGTGTTTAAAAAGAATGAAAAAGTAAATGAAATGGGAACCTAAGAAAGGCTTAGACGAACACTCTCCAACCAATCACATGTTGCGGCGTCAGCAACACAAGCACCCTCTTGAGGCATTGCATTCCCCCTTTTATATACATGTTGAAGAAAACAAGCTATGAACCAAAATTTGAATACATCAATACATTGAAACTGCATATAAGCAAGCTAACAAATGAATTTCAAATCAAATATTAAATAATGTGCAATAAATGAAAATTTTCATAAAAATTTAGAGACTACAAAATTACAAGGATCTCATGGTAAAAGAAACATAAAGTAAACAACAATACATCAAAAGACTAAACATACCTAATTAAGGAGAAAAAGGCTAAACATAAAACAAACTTAAGTAGCATTAAAACTGGTGAGAATAATCCAAGCAGATTCCCTCCTGGTGAGACGTGTCTTTGGTCAATTTAGGATAAAAGTGAAAGGCAAGCCACCACTATCAACTGTCATCTCCAGTCATCCAGCTAAAGCAAATAAGAAAAGCATTATGGAAGCGCGTCTTAGGGAAGAGCTCGGCGAGACAGAGGCTTTGGACTAAACAAAGTAAAAAGAAGAAAACAATTGTACATGCCTTAGTAAAATGTAGCGTTTGAAGGACCTAAAACGCACAAACAAAACCACATAAAAGTTGTTCCATTCTGGAAATATAAGCTGGACAAATAGATATGAGACCCAAATTCATGCCTTAGTACAAGAAGTCACGAATGAAGTGGAAGGGAGGCATCCAACCTCTCAAGTGAATACAAAGATTTCTAGCCTCGAAGACTTAAAATCTTGGGGTTCTTGAGGCCTAAGTAAACACTTATAATCCAAAATAATACTCTCCGTCCCTTGGGTATGGCGAAACCTCCAAGATTTTAATCCACTTTTAATTTAAGAAAAAAAAGCCACTGAGATGTCAAAGTGAAACACAAGAAAAAGAACGATTGAATAACAAAGCATACCTGTTAACACCAGCTATCACTTCTCGAAGGAGTGCAGAAGAGAGGTTTACCAACCAAATGCAGTGTTTGAAGAAGTACCTAAATCCACAAACAAAAACACATAAAAGTTTTGCATTTTGGAAATATAAGCTACTAACAGATGCAGGACTCAAAAATTCAGAAATATCCTAAAAGTTGTGTACGAATCAGAATTGTTCACTTTAGTAAAGAAGCATTTTTCATGTGAGATTTTAAAGTAAATAAAACAGAATAACAAAACCACTAAACAAAATTAGGTTACGGCACATAAGTTGCCATCTTCACAGACAATTAAATACAAATTTATACACAATACACATCAAGTAGTCAGGACAACCTATCATTTACAAGCAATAATAGGCCCCTAAAGAATTATAGAATGACAGGTTTGACAAACAAAGCAAGGATAACTAAGGTTCTAACTAAGAAATAACTTTAGCAATGGTTCACTTAATTGATCATCGAAACAAAGGCAATTCCCATTATTTATCAATAAATAGGTTATAACTGCCAAACAAGCGATAGCAGTCAGCCCCTCCTTATTGTGTCGGTGATTAAGGTACGCCCGTTAATCACTGCTCTAATTAGGAAATAATTCTACGTACGCCCATAAGATTTAATTTCCCAATTGCCTTACGTATTAGAGGAGCCCTATTCTAACCAAATAACGCACTACCAGGGTTATTTCAAATTAGTCCGCGTATCCCCCTGACACAAATCCAATCATGCCAGTTGTCACTATTTTGAGACAATTAAATAATTATGGATTTAACGCCCCAATTGACAATAGATTATCAAATTAACTAATTATCCGGATCCAAAACAATCAATTAATTAAACAATCATAAGCACTGTGACCAGGGAATATGCGAATACCAATAAATAAAAGGAATAGGTAAAATTAATTCGATCTCACAATTTTTAGGCGATCCAAAACCTCTGTTGTTTCTTGACTATAGTAAAGGAATTAGTTCATCTTTGATACGAAAAACCCACACGCAATTGGAGAGAAGGTCGCGGCCATTGTCCTTCGAT